AGTCTGGGATTCTGTGAACTTGATGAGCTTATAATTCAGGTGTTTATCCAGCTGTATAAAAGAAGATCCGGTTTCACTCTTAAAACTGGTGCTTCCCGTGTCTGGGCCACTGGAGACAGACAGAGGGACCAGTTTGTCCCCCTGTAAAGCTCTTGTTCTCCACCTGGTCTCTTGATTCAGCTCCATGTCTGTACAGAGAGCTGTAACTTCAGCTCCATCTTCTTCTGCACCCACAAACGTGTGCTGCAGAACCTCCTGGCCCCCAAACAGCACAGCTTTGCTCAGGGCGCACACAGTGCTGTTCTTGAGCATGCACGCAAGAGGCAGGGACTCGCGTCCTCCCTCTTCATCCTCCAGTAGCTCTCCTCCCCCTGGTTGCCCAGGGCCATCCTGCAGGGCTCTGCTGTGTCCCCTTCTGTTCTCCCTCCTCCTGCCCTTGGGGACTTGCCAGCTCCTCAACCCTTTTCCAGCCCCACCACTTCCCTGACCTCCCTCGCAGCCTTCTTGGGCTGCACGAGCTGTTGTGTCCTCCCCCACCACCCTCATGCAGGTCACCTGCAGATCCTGGCGATTTGAGTGTCTCCTGTCTCTCTCTCTGTCTCCCTCTCCTGAAGAGCATCAGGGAGTGGGGGAAGCCCGGGAGATCTTGGCCCATGGTCCCCACGGTGGGGAGCCACGACAAGGTGTCTCCGAGACCCACTGGTGCTTTGGGAGCAGAGGTTGTGCCTGGTGGTACCACTGCAGCTCTGGCAGGGGGACCTTGCTGTGCAAGTCACGCCGTGCTCTTGCAAGGCGTTCGGCAATTCTGACTTACCTCTCTAACGAACGCTGGTGGCGTGTCCCCAGCCCTGTGCTCGCGAGCTGGGAGGGAGCAGCCTGTAATGCGGTTACCTGTTCTGACTCCTCTTGGTCCTGCATGTGGCCCAGGTGCCACCTTGCAGGGAACCAGAGCCTTCCTCCTCGTTACAGACCCCTCCACACTTCCCCGTGATGAAGGTACAGATCTGAATGTGAGCCACCAGTGTGCCCAGGTGGCCAAGAAGGCCAATGGCATCCTGGCCTGCATCAGGACTAGTGTAGCCAGTTCGACCAGGGAGGTCATTCTGCCCCTCTGCTCGGCACTGGTGAAGCCACATCTTGAGTACTGTGTTCAGGTTTGGGCCCCTCACCACCAGAAGGACACTGAGGTGCTGGAGCGTGTCCAAAGAAGGGCAGTGAAGCTGGTGAGGGGTCTGGAGCACATGTCTTCTGAGGAGCAGCTGAGGGAACTGGGGGTGTTCAGCCTGGAGAAAAGGAGGCTGAGGGGAGACCTTCTCGCTCTCTACAACTATCTGAAAGGAGGTTGCAGAGAGGTGGGAGTGGACCTGTTCTGTCAAGTAATGGGACAGAACAAGAGGAAGTGGCTTCAAGTTGAGCCAGGGGAAGTTTAGATTGGCTGTTAGGAAGAATTTCTTTACTGAGAGGGCCATGAGGCATTGGAACGCGTTACCCAGGTCAGTGGTGGAGTCCCCATCCGTGGAGGTACTTAAGGGTCATGTAGATACAGTGCTCAGGGACATGGTTTAGTGGTGGGCTCGTCAGCGTTAGGTTAAGGGTTGGACTAGATGATCTTACAGGTCTTCTATGATCTAGGAGATTCTGTGATTCTGTGATCTAGGGAGCTGTGGCCAACGAGGCACGATGAAGGGGTGGTAGAGACACTGCGCGCCACGAGCGCTGCAAGAGGGATGCGCCTCTTCACGTCCCCACGCCACCTCCCCTCCACCTCGCTGTCCTCCGACCCTGAATCTGCAGACGGACGGAGACGGTCCAGGCCCCTCCCGCTCAAACTTGGCTTTTAAGATGGAAAAACTGTTTTTAAATATGCGTTTGCTGCTGGTGGAGGTTGGTCGTACCTGCTGCCACGCCATGCTGTGGCATCGCCGTGTGAGCGTGATCAACCCATGCCCGGCCCTGCCGCTGGAGCTGGGGCAGAGTGATGCTGGGGGGTGTCCTGAGGGCAAAGAGGGGGGGTCAGGCACTGTCCCCGGGCACCGTCCCCTCTCTGCAGCTGCCTGCCTGACCCCATTGCTCCATCCCACCGCGGGCAGAAGCAGGGCTTTGCCTCTCCAAACAGCACCCACGTGCCGCAGGGCGAGCCCGGAGAGGGTTTGCGAGGAGAGGCTTGTTGTTTCAGCTGATTGCAGTGTTTTAATTTGAAGAGGAATAATGCCTAATCACAACGACTGTCATCTGTTTGACAGTGGAAAATCCTAGATCTTCCGTGGGGTTGTGGGGGTTTTTTTTGTGTACCGTGATGGGCAGCCTTTCAGCAGAGCGAGCTTCCCTGCGCTCGCGTTTGGAGCCCTGGTGGGATGAATGGGCTCAGACCAGCTCACTAATCTAATTTGCAATGTATCCTTATAATGTATAATTGGCTGTTTAATTTCATTCCAATTAACATAAGAATAGAAAATATAATCTGCAGCGTGGCCCACGCGGTGTTGGGTGTTCCCGGTTTGAGACGCCGACTTTTCTGCGCGTGGCGTGAGACCACCCTTCACGGGGACGGAGATGTCACCATGTCACTAGGCACAGTGTGTGACAACAAATCGCCCCCCTTTCCCACCCCTCCGAGCCTCTGTCTGTCTCATCGCCCTTCCTCATCTTTCTAGCGATCTGTTTAAAACGTATATAGAGTACACGCGGCTCGCTTTGGAAAATCGTTGGTAGCGGTAGGGTGTGAAAGCTGGCAGGCGCCGCGTCTGATTATGTTGATTGGATATTGTCTAATCTGATTTTGATTGTGTATAGCTTTGATTGTAATTTGATATGTCTGCACAATACTGTAGCTTTTCGGAAAGCTTTGTGATTTTAACAGGTTGGGGTGGTTTTTTGTTGGGGTTTTTTTGTTGTTGTTGTTTCCCCCCTCCCAGGCTGAATAGAGCGGAGGCAGAAATGTGCAGGGGGTTGAGCGGGACAAAACCGCCTCAAAGCCCTTCGGTGAGCTGCTCAGCAGCACCACGAGGAACTTGTAGTTTTGAAGAGAGCTTTAGGAAACTTTGAGTGGGTTTTACATAATTTTGTTAAGCACAGCAAAGCCACTTGCTTATATATCTGATACCCAAATAAACCCGTCGGAGGAACAAGTTTGCTGTGCAATGATTTATTTAAATCCCTTTCCATAAAGCATGGAGTGAAATCCTCTTAAATAACTGAGAAAGAACCGGTGTACCTCGAAGAGCGTAGCCCAAACGGAAACCTCACTACTAGACGTATTAAGTGGGATCTATCTGTCTGCTGGCGTGTACATCCTCCCAGCCCCCTGCCTTCCCCGTATAATACCGCTGCTAGACAGGAGCGGGCTGGAAAAATAGCTGGGCTTGAATTTCCCCCGAACAATAAGTTGGTACGGAGCTGTCTCCGCCCGGGCTCCGGCTTGTGTTTCTCGCGGACTCCTATTTCCCCGCAGCCGGGGGGGAATTTCGGGTGAAGGGGAAGGGTCGGGTGGGATGTGCTCTTCTCTCGGTCTCTTTTCCCCACGGGCGGAGGGGAGGCGAGAGGTGGGGGGCAGCTGAGCAGAGGAGGACCCTCTCCCAGGGGGGACCCCATTCCCAGGGGGGACCCTCTGCTCTGACACCTACAGGGATGTGTCCCCCCCCCACAAGGCAGTGCCGGAGCAAAACCGCTGGGAGCCCTCCCACCTATCCGCACGTACCTCCTGACTCCCCGCTGCCTCTCCCGCTGACCTCTGTGTTCCGGTTAAATGTGGGGTTTATTTTATTTTATTAAGGGTTTGTCTCCCTGCAGCCTGGGGGGATGAAGAGCGTGGATGCGAGTGGGAGCTCCGGGCAAGGGATTAATAAAGCCTACAGTGCTTAACTGGTTTTGCACACATCTGGGGTTTTGCTCTTAAATCAAGTATTAAGTCAAAATCCAACCGTGAAACTAGGTGATCTGAGAAATTTAGCTTAAAATCCATGTGTATAATACTATGGCTAATCAGAATTTCATATGCTGTAATAATATGTGAAACACTAGATGTTTAGAATAAGCCTCCTCTGCCAGAGACTCATTATATTCCGCTTTGATAATTAATAATTTGGGATAGGTTCACACTTCCATTATGAAGCAAATACGTTTCTGTCTGAAGTGAGAAAGATTGCACAGGTGCAATAGCATATTCCTTCTCCGTATCGACCGGAAGGCTTAGGAGTAAGCAAAGCGCCCGAAAACAGGGGGAGCACGAGGAGCACCAACGTCTCTGCCTGTTCGTGGTCGCCTCGAGGGAGTGTTGGTGGGGAGGTGAGGGAGCGCTTGTCCAAATAAAATTTGGATGAGGATGTAAGGAAGGACAAATCTCCGTGTGTGGCGGAACCATGCGGGCTCTCTTTAAAGGATTTGGAAAAAAAACCCACACGCGACGGCTGTGTTTCCAAACCTCTCTCCCTGGTCGTAGCTTCTGTGCTGGAGTTTGTGAGGAGTCAACGGGAGTTTTGTTCCCACATTCTAGTTAATTCTACGGAGCTAATTCTCGTAAAAACTCTTGAAAATATGAACTGTAGATACTGTAAGAGCTGAGTGGGGTGCCCAGAGAGGGGCTTTGCCTTAAAAAGACAGCGGCTGGTGGGGAAACGGTCCTTTTGTGGCCATGGGCTCTGCAAACACCGCTCCGCTGGCTCCCACCAGGGCGGGGAGAGCTCTGCTGAGGTTTCGGCAAGGTAAAGATGCGCGAGAGGGATGCAGTGTGGGAGAGGGGAGCGCTGCGGATGCCCCAGGGGGATCTGAGGTGTGCGAGGACCCGCGGCGTCCCTGATGGACGGTGCAGCCCTGCCGCGCTCGCTGCCTGGCTCCTACGTGGTTAGGACCTGCTGGTGTCCGGGGCTGGAGGTGCCTTTTTCATTAAAACAAAACTGTTTTTCACTGGAATGTGCTTCTGTGTTTCTTACACAAATAATCACTTTTCTTTGGCGAAGCAACGAGGCAGTGACGCTTTGCGAATTGTCTTTTTTGTGTTTTAGACGTATAACAGTCAGAATGAGAATAACGAAGACTATGAGATCCCTCCCATAACACCTCCTAATCTCCCTGACCCTTCCCTCCTGCACTTGGTGGACCACGAAACTGGATATCACTCCCTGTGCCACAGTCTCCCTCCGAACAGCCTGATCCCAGCATACCCCTACCAGAACATGGACCTGCCGGCCATCATGGTCTCCAACATGTTGAGTCAGGACGGGCATCTTCTCTCCAGCCAGCTACCCACGGTCAGTGACTTTCCCTTCTTACTATCTTCCGCTGAAGCAGCTTTATACGTCATGTTATGAGTTCAGCTGAACGTAGGAGGGTGTACATGATGCGATGTTTGCACTGGGCTCTGGGAAGAGCTGGTGACACAGCCTCACTGCGCTGGTCTCCACCAGGGTTGGGGTGCGGTGGCAGACGCTGCCGTCACCTGCATGACCGTGCTCATGGTGGCAACTTCATATTTCCAGTTTGGTGTCTTCCTGAGCCTTATTAAGCACTCAAGACCAGGGGGGAGGTTGTTTTTAGCATCCTCACTGAAGCGAGCAAAGTGCTTGTGCTTCAACCCCGTGTTTGGGTGACCAGCCCAAGCCCCTGTGCCCCGTGACCGTTCTCCTGCTGGGAAAGCCCCCAGCCCCTCAGCCCCGCGTCCTGCTGCCAGGGTGGCCCTGGTGGCATGAGGAGGAGAAGCAGGGATGCTCAGTGAGGGGAAAGCTGTCCTATTGATTTCGAGGGGAACAAGATCCCTCTTGGCACTTGCAAACTCAAATTGCCTCTCGGCTCACGCCGCGGCAAAGGGATACCTCGCAAAGTTTCAAATGACTCTTCGGAAGGAATAAGTAAGGGCGGGATAATGAGGTAGAGTGCAGCTCTGGGAAGAAACTTCAGGGCTAATTAAACCTTATGATGCTTCTGTATCAGCAGCACCAAGGAAAGGTTGTGACTTGATTTTGACGGTGGTATTGAATTAATAGTGTTGCTGTTTAATAACATTTTCCTCTTTAGCACATTTAGCCCTATGGTTAGTTTTCTATGTTGTTTCTCTCTTAAGATCATTGATTTTCATGGGTGCGGTTGGAAGGCATCGATATCAAACAGAGTTAATTTTACTTAAATAGCGTGTCTGCGAGTCTGCCACTGCGCGAGCTGGAGAACATTTGGTGTTGATTGCTTGAATAGATAACGGCCTGAAAGGTAGTGATATTTAAATATTTAAATGGAATATTATCTCTCAGTCTAGGAAAATCCCAAGGCTTTCTTACGTCTTGCTGCGTCTCCAAGTTTCATTGTTAGTGTGTTTAAGAAAAATATCATGTTCTGCCCATCAGTATTGAACACGGGTGTATTTCTGTGGAATTAAATGTTACTTAGGCCTCTTTCAGGTTCTTAGGTGATTAAAACATTCATTTCTGAGACAAAAAGAGTCAATTTCAGTTGAAATATTTTTCCCTGGTTTAATTTAAAGCCCAGCCCCTTTGCCTGACCCCTATTTTCATAACACGGTAATTTTATCCTGGGTTGATTGTCTCATTTTTGAGAGGTGGTATTGCACTTATAAATCACTTTCTAAAATATCTAAAGAAACAAGAATAGTGGGATTTATTAAGCAGCTTCTGTACGTCTGAAATAATTTATTTTGGAGTAGTCCTTGGGAAATGTTCTCTTTCTTACTTTATGGTACTGTTTTACAAATGCGGCATCGGGACAATAAATCAGGACTGAGCCAGAGGAGATAAGAAGGGGGCTTAGTGGGCTGTAAACGTAGAATAGAGAGATTAAGATTTGTTTGCCCCTTACCACAAAAATAAAAAATCCAGTGAACCCTGAATTTTCCAGCCGGTAGCGAATTGAAACTGTTTAGTTTTGAGTGGAAAACCCTTGGAGCTGTAATACATCTTCCCAAGTCCCGAGCAGCCAAGGAAGTAGATCAGGGAGTGAACTGTGGTGCAGTTTTTGGTCAAAATTAAATCCGGCCGTACCCTCTTGTCAAAGCCTTTTTTTCCACGCCGCCAGACTTCTGCTGAAAAATAACACCTTCTAGTCGTCCCCCCTTTTTTTTTTGGATGCCTGAATCGATTGCTCCCTTACTCCAGCACCAGCCCACGATGGCAGCATTGGTCCCGCAGCACACGTATGACTCCTGTTAGCGGTAATGGGAGCGACGCGCGCACACGAGGGAACAATAAAACAATAAAATCCTCGAGACAGAATGGATTTTTAACCTCGTACGGTTAATAGGTCCTGCCCCCGTGCCGGTCGGGCCATAGTCTGCTCGGTGGTGGCCCCAGGAAGCTTCAGGCATCGCTGCGTGACGGAATGGGGCACGTGATGGGCTGCGACCCTGCCCGAAAGTCAACCGCCTTCGGGTGGGTGTTTGCCGCAGGGCAAGAAAGGGGCTTGTTTGCTAACGCTTCCCAAAAAGAGAGGATTTCTCGCCGCACGGGTGGCGGTGGGAAGGCAGCCTGGGAGCGAGCCTTGCCTGAGCACGGCGGAGGAGGCGTGTGGAGGGTTTGTCTTTGTTCCAGGACCGAGGTTGCTCATGCAAATGCCGGAGCCGGGAGCCTCTCTCCTTACTGCTGCTGCTCTTTGCCGTAGTTCAGACCGGTTGTTTTGGGTTTTTTTCGTACGCCGCCGTTTCCTGCCTTGGCTGCCACGTCTTTCGGTTTTATACAGTGACAGATGACAAGCAATTCAAGGTAAAATGTTTAGACGTTGGTTTTGACTTCTCCTCTAAAAACGTAGCTTGAGCCTTGGGATTTTTTTTAAGGCATCCTCATGAAAAGCCGCTGAAAAGGCATGAGCTGGGACTCACTGAGAGATATGGGATTGGTATTTTCCTCTACAGCTCTGGAGTGAATAAGGGAAATACTGGTGCAGGTTGCTGTCCCCTTTGGCATGTCTCTTGTCCAGGGATGTCCCAACATGACCCCTAGATTGAATTAAGCTTCCCGGTGCCTCTGTGAGGGAGGAGGCTGCTGCTCCCATTATGCGGACAAATACCAAGTCAGAGCGGGTTTAAATCAGCGGAGAAATTCCCATGGCAGGATGAGAGCTGGAGAGCGAAGGGGGATTTGCTGCGTGCCAGACCCCACTCCTGGCTCCAGCCCATCCGTGGGGTGCCAGGAGCCGGAGCCCCTCATTCGAGCAAAGGAGCTGTATGGGGCAAAACCAAAGCCACAGTCACCTCTACATTTCCTTATCCCTCAATCCTCATCATCCAGAGCACCCTCCAAACCAGTGGCCTCTGCTGAGCCCGGACGCACTTCGCTCCGCCCCATGGACCAGCTCTACTTTTCCATCACTGCTGTTTCTCTTACTTTATTTCATTATTATTATTAATTATTTATTTCCATCAGTTTTTAGAAGTCAAGGGAGTTTTGAGACACTGAAGGTGGGGCGCAAGGGAGCTGGAGAGGAGCAGGAAGGGATGGATAAGAGAAGGCAGAGACATGGCAGAAGATGTGACGTTAGGAAGAGCGATGGAGCCGGGTGCAGGGGCACTGGGGAGGAGGGGGAGACTGGCTGGGGTGGGGAAGGCGTGTTATTTTTTGTGTTGGTGACAAGAAACAAACAGAAAATTCTTAATACAGTGGATTATTTTTTTATTCCAGTGTCCTCTTCTTTGCTATGGGAAAAGAGGAAGGGAAGAGGAGGAATGGCAGGAAAGAAAGAAAATAGGAGAGATGTGATTTTCACTGAGAAATGGGAACATTAAGGAAAAAAATAATCAGAGGGGAAAAGAGATGTTTTCCCTGGAAAGAGAATGACTTTGCCCACTGTGAACATCCGATCAGCAGTGTCACGGTGTGGACAGGCGGCTGCGGAGCCCCCCGGGGAGGAAGAGCTGCCGGGCTGGGGCCACAGCAGGGCTGGGACGTGGGGGAGAGCAGGGCAGGGGGCAGAGGAACGCCCCGAACCGGTGGCAATCGCCAGCAGGTTAAGGAGCTGCCGTGAATAAATGAGATTTCAGAAGGGATTTGGCAGAACATATTTGACAGAAACAAAGGGCGATCAAGGTCAGAGCCCAAGAATCTCCAGCGCAGCTCAAACATATTTACATAAATATGAGATAGCGGCTGAGCGCGCTGTGGGTATCTGCTTATCGGGTGGGATCGTGCCCGGTACCTGAGTGCTGCCCGGGGCTGGGGGGAGCAGGGAGCTCCTGGCTGGGGGCACAGCACTGCCTGGAGCCTGCCACCGCCGCTCAGAAACCCCGAAACTTTCTGCTCCTCCAAACCTGGTCAAAGAGAGTGTGGCCAGCAGGTGGAGGGAGGTCATCCTCCCCCTCTGCTCTGCCCTGGGGAGGCCACATCTGGAGCACTGTGTCCAGTTTGGGGCTCCCCGGGTCAAGAAGGACAGGGAACTGCTGGAGAGGGTCCAGCAAAGGGCTATGGAGATGATGAGGGGACTGGAGCATCTTTCTTATGAGGAAAGGCTGAGGGACGTGGGGCTTTGCAGTCTGGAGAGGAGAAGACTGAGGGGGGATCTTATCAGTGCTTGTAAATCCTTCAAGGGAGGGTGCCAAGGGATGGGAACAGTCTGTTTCCAGTGGTGCCCAGTGACAGGACAAGAGGGAACGGGCACAAACTGGAGCATCGGGAGTTCCATCTGAACCTGAGGAGGGCCTTCTCTGCTGTGAGGGTAGCAGAGCAGTGGCACAGGCTGCCCAGAGAGGTGGGGGAGTCTCCCCCTCTGGAGCCATCCCAAACCCGCCTGGACGCCGTCCTGTGCCACTGCTGGAGGTGCCCCTGCTCTGGCGGGGGGTGGGATGGGGGAGCTCCAGAGGGCCCTTCCGACCCCACCAGTCTGGGATGCTGTAAAAGGGCATTGCCGTGCTGGGGCACACTGAAAACTCAGCCTGTTTTCCTGTGGTGCGTGTTGTAGGGCTGCAGCCGCCCCACTCCTTTCCTGCTCTGCCCTGGCCAGGTGTAATTAGGGCAGAGCCATATATTTTTGCATCATTTTGGACAAGCGGCAGATGTTATGAGCAAACGTTGGCTTTGTAGCAGGTATGCAGAGTTTGACTGGAGAGACTGGCCGCTGTCCCCGTGTCTGTGTCTTCCCAGTGCTTCTCACGTGAGAGATCTTTGTGACTATTTTAAAGGCACTAACATTTCCTTGAGCCCGGTGGGATAACTTTTTTCTTCTTGAATGAAAAAAAAAGCTGCAGCCACAGCCTGGAAGTTCTTCGTTTCAGTTTGTTGTGTGAAAATAGATTATTCAAAAAATTATTAAATATTTC